GCCCCAGGCAACTCCTGCCCCCGCCCCTCGCGGAGCTCCTCCCCTCCCCACATCCCGGCTCCGCTACCGCCTCTCGCTGCAGCTCCGCCCCTGCTGGCCCGAGGCCCCGCCCCTCGCGGAGGCCCCGCCCCTGTCCCCGCCCCCCGGCGGCGCGGCGCGCGGGCGGCTGACAAGGGCAGAGTTTATTCGTTCCAATACAGCGCGGCGAGCACGTCCGTGACAGAGAGACCGGGAGCGGGGCGGGGCGCGAGAAAAACAACGGCAAACCAACAGAAAGAGAGGGGTGCGGGGTGTGGAAGCCACCACTGAAAACAAGCTCGGAACAGGAACAGGGAAGGGCGCATTGGCCCCGTCCTGACGCCCCGCCTTCCCCCCACATACTTCCTTGCTCCAGTTACGTCGGTCCTCATCCGATAAAACAAGAAGCGAGTGGCAGGCTAAGAAGTTAGTGGCCCTTGAAAATAAAACTCCAAACTCTACGTCATGCCGGTTATCCACTACAACTAAAAAGTTTTTTTGGTTTTTTTTTTTTGTTTTTTGTTTTTTACAAAGAAGCGTAAAAGGAGAGGGAAGCGTTAGAGTTATCTTCTTCTCTCTGCACAGTCCAGAATGGGGGAAAAAGAAAAGAAAACAAAACAAAAAAAAACAAACCACAAAAAACAATGACCACAAATACAGCAGGCAAACTGACTGTTGGACTGATAGGTATGGGATATATAGTGTTGTAAGGAATTCAGTCTCAAGTTGTGCTAAACGCTCTTCGTCCTCAGTATGGCACATTTTGGTCCATGATGGGGAGTTTTAGTAGAGACGAACCCCGCTTTCTTACAAAGACGTGTAAATATTGTTGCTCTTTAAAACGCCACGTGTACTTCCTTCTACGGAGGTTAGGAGACACTTATAGGAAGTAGTCTGGGGTACGACGGGTAACGTGGGGCTCTCCGCGACGAGGCGCCGGGTCGAACTGAAGGCTGCGGACAAGAGAAAGAGTTGGTTTCTCCCCCTCCGTAGCGGGTATTTTTAAGCACCCCAGTGCCCACAAAGATGCTCCCTCATCCCGGCTGCTCCCACACAGCGTGGTTCGGCCCTCCCACAACCCTGCAGCCTCTAAATCCAGAGGCACGGGAGGTCCCTCAAAACGACAACTGATAGGAGGTAAAGACGTCAACCCACGGAAATTCTGCTATGCAGCGATCGTCTCCACGGCCCATCCGCGCAAGGGAGGGTGCGCTTTGCAAGGCAGGGATACGTTTTGCATCTGYGCAGCTGGATGCAAAACTCACTCTCTTGCAAGTCTGGTGCTACACTCAAAAAAACCCAAAGCAGAAAAAGAAGGCATGGAGTAGCAAAGAGCTTCCAAGCGCTYAATTCACTACATATTTTTAGACCATCTTGTAGATGGAGCACACAGTGTTAAAGCCAGACTGGTTTAAGCAGCTGGCTCCTTGCCGGAGACTCCCTTCGAAAAGGATGAGGCTCTCCCCGCAGTGCAGAGGTCTAATTAAACAGAAAGAGGGAACAGCCTGAGCCGGGTTACTCACAAGGAATATTTTAAAGTGTCATCTAGTTCCATGATAGCAGCCTGGTTCCCACAGCGGTAACAGTAATTGGGCGCACTGAAAATGGTAACCACGTTTCGATCGTGGCACCAATTATAACCCTGCCGGGAAAGCAAAGGAAAAAAAAAAGTTACTGTTAAAGCTCTGCTCTCAGTCCAGTTCCCAACGCCCTCCTAAGGTCCAGGAAGATAAAATACATCTGAGAAATGTACATTTTCCAGCGTCTCCAACTCACTTAAGCTTTCTGCTATCTAACTGCAGCTTGCCCTTACTGTAGAGTGATCTTTAAAAGGAAGCTTAACTGCTCCACACAGGACACCATCCATTACATGTGTGTTCATCCACTTTGTACACAAAGCACGCATAGCACCAGAAAGGAAAAAATAGAAGGGGGCTTAAATTAAGCCTTCAGATTTAATTTACTAAGTATTAGAATTATTGCTTTTCAGAGGAGAGACTTCTGACACATGTTACTACTTATAGAGGACCTACTTGAACCATATTTAAAAATAAGCCTGCTCCATTGACCCAGCTGGCATTCCTCCAGGAAGGCACACAAGAATAGCCTATCAACAGCCCAAATTAGAGCTTAATCCCTGGCACGTTTGACTGCTCTTTATTACASGACAGCCTATTTAATACAGCAGTGGAGAAACTGTCAGCATTTAAGTAGATTATCACTTCCACGTGTGGTACACGGCAGGATCTCTTTAGTTACTGGAAAGGTGGGGAAAAAAAAGGGCASTATCCCTTCTTTAGGCAGCAGCAGTTTGCAGCACTGCATTCCACTTGGCTTGCTGTTTTCACATGATAAAAATCCCTCTTGGATGCGTGCCTGCTTGGCATTTGGGTGACAGTGCCTGCAAGCTTATCGGCGGAAGATCCCAGAGCCAAACCACACAGCGCGGAAAGGACCCGCCCTACCTCCATGACAAGCTGGTGAGCACGGGAGACCAGTGTAAGACCATTGGCATGGTTAAAGGTTTCGGAAATATCCTGCCCAAACGTGTAGCCAGCGCCACGAGGAGATATACCCCAGCCACCACGATCATCGGGGTCCGACCACAACAGATCACACATGGGACCCTAGGAAACAAGACCAGMATTCCTCATTAGATATCCTTTTATTAGCTAGGCAGCCATACAAAGCCCCGKCCACAGCATATTCAATTTACAGTAAAAAGGCTTGTCAGCATTTTATTCTACACACACGAGTGTTTATGTGTCATTATCAGCAATGTGTTACTCAGTGTATGGGTCAACACCCTCTCACAAGAAGGGACCTGCACACAGCTGATAARTGAAGTCCATGCAACCAGAAAACTGTTCCCACCTCCTCCTCCTCACACCTAGTTTATGATTGTACTTCAGCTAGTATAAGCAACAGGAAGATGCGGAGAGCACTTCCACATTCTCACTCGTGATACTGGGTTTTGTAATGCCCGCAGGAGACACACAAGACCAAGGACAGGCAAGGGGCGCGTTACGCCAGGCACGCTGCAATAAACTGAAGCAAGAGCAAGGACCTGCAGAAGGCCACATGCCATTCACAAGWTGGATGTCTAGTCCCCCCTGCCAGGGGATTTACTATTCATTTGATTTCCTCTCCTAAACAGAATCGCTCGACTAGTCATGCTGGGGACACCCTGGTTGTTCCCCCAGCCCTGGCAGGCTGGAAGGAAGTGTTAGTGGCCACAGTGAATCAGCAGAGAACAAGAAACTATCATCCAGGTGACATGGGGACATGACACAGCTCCACGTGACTGCGTATTCATCAWCAAGTCTGTGAGCAAGACAAAGGCAGTGAGTGAGGAAACTCCACGGTCTTTCTGCAGACTGCTCTGATCAGCACACACTGACTAGGGTCCGTTTTGTGCACATTAATGTTCGCCTGCTCTTGCTCTAACCAAGACAAGAGTCTGCTGTGCAACATATCTCATGGTGTAAATAGATTTCAAAGTGTGGCTGCACTTGCACTGTCAGCTAACTAATCTCTAAAACTAAAAGGACATTTCTTTTCTTGTTACCTCATGCGGAACTTCTTGCAGGCGGTCCAGAGCCCTGATATGATCCAGTGTATCTATCGACGGAGAGAGGCCACCGTGGAGACAGAATATCTGGCCCAGAAAAGAGACCAACCTAGTCAGTGCATTTTGTTACTGAACCTCACCAACAGCAACGTGAAACACTTACTCTCTCACAAGTACAATCTTCTTGCCTCATAGCAAAGGAAGTAGATTTAATGCCAGGGAATGGGAACAAAACTAAAAGGCTACACATTCCACACAAAAATCAGAGGAGCGGCAAAGATAACATTCCTTTGGTTTCAAGAATATCTTGCCTCACGGCAATGACTCAACTCACACGTAACAGATTGTGCCGAGGGCCTCCCGCTTGTTGGGCAATCCTCAGAAATCAACTGCAACATCCACTCTTCCCTTGTGAGCAAAGAAAGGCCTTGCTGCTCTATCAGCTCGAACTAACAGCTAATTTAGTTTAATAGTTCATTAACTGCCTCCCAGCACCCCCAATAAGTGAATGAGCTTTAAAGAGTGCTGCCTACGAGCTAAGAGATCTGATTTGAGATGGGTCACATATAGGTCAGACAGCACAGCCTATATTTTCTCCATCTGACCTTGTCTTTATGAAACGGGGGACTTTCCTGATTCAAGCCCCAAAAGCTCACCTGGCCGTCTACTAGAGCCGTAAGCGGAAGGTAATCGAAGAGATCCGTGAAGTACTTCCAGACGTTGGCGTTCCCGTACTTGCGCAGGCATTCGTCGTAGAAGCCGTACACCTGCGTGATTTGTCTGCTTTCGTGATTGCCTCTCAGTATCGTAATGCGTTCCGGGTAACGCACCTACGGACGAAGAAGACACTGTTTTCATTATGTTATCACCAGCGTAAGCGCGGTACAGCCAGTTCAGAAGGAAACCCTGGTGGTAATTTTCARAAGGATGGCAAGTATGTAGCTCTTACATAAAAAACACGTGTCCAATAACATTCACTTTTCACATGTCTAGATGAATCTCAACTCCCTCTCCCAAACAAGTCTGTTTAAGCCCAAGACTGCTAAAACAAACAAACAAACAAGGTTGTCCATCCATACCTTTAATGCTACTAGAAGAGTTACTGTTTCCACCGAGTAATAGCCTCTGTCCACGTAGTCTCCCATGAACAGGTAATTTGTGTCTGGTGATTTCCCACCAATTCTGAAGAGTTCCATAAGATCATGGAACTGCCCGTGGACATCCCCGCAGACGGTGACAGGGCAACGTACCTCTTGCACATTTGATTCCTTCGTAAGAATTTCTTTAGCCTAGCAAGAGAAAGATAAGGTAGGATTAAGAGCCAAGCAGTTTCTCCACAAGCCAACAAACTCATTCCACACTGTTCCCTCTCTGATTTCACTCTCGCTGTTCAAGCTGATCACAGGGAAAACAGGCTGCTGGAGACGCCAAGTGCTCTCTACAAATTACTGTGGAAAGAGATAAGYAGGTTTGTTACTGTAAGCCAGGTCATTAGGGTTTTATTAGCACTACAAGCAAGAGCAAACAAATTTAAGCACTGATAAGCAAGGCACACTGAAGGCTCTTGGCAGACTCCATCAGCAGCGCTGGGACCGTTGAGACTGGCAAGGGCTGAACACACTAGACGGCAAGCGGCGCTCTGTGATGGCAAAGTCATGAAGTAGTTCAAACAACAAGGAGACCGTGATTTCTTCTGGAAATCTGCTTGCCACGCAGATTCGCCAGGCAGATGCTCAGCAATTCATTCAGTTTATTCAACTCGCTTTTACTTGCAATTAAACACTATGGTTTTTTCCCCAGRTCTCTGCTGAAGTACCAAGAGCTCTGCAAAGAGCTGTAACTTGACAGGCTGCCTCTCGGCCTCCCCTGGAATTACTAAGCGTGAACACCAAGATTCCTCGGATATATGGCCTCTCATTCCTGAAGCTCCCCCATGCATCCTGAGCCTTCAGACAATTACAGAGCACAATGCCCACGTTTCATTAATCTCATGGTTACAGCCTTAAGCACAAWCTTATTTTATCAAAGAAAAAAATGWAAGTCTCTTCACAGAGCTCTCCATCTATATGTTCAAGACAGCTCAAGTCTGTTRTCTCTGCTAACTGGGCAAAGACARAGCCAATCACTCTTAGGTTTCTTCTAAGGTTTCGGATACCAGGAAGGTTTTATCTCAAGTGCCACCGTCACCCTCTGACTACTGCAGCCCATCCCACGTCCAGCCGGGGGAACAGAGCTTAGTCAGTCATCTCTCAACTGCAGAGGCAGCTCCGCGCCATGGAAACAGCGCTCAGAACAGCTCCTTGGCTCTGCATGCACTAAGGGGGCTCAGCRCTCAGTCGCAGGGACGCTGCTGTCAGGCAAGAAGCTGCTGTCGCTCAGCAGAGCGGCCCCGGGCTGCGCGTGCCTGCTGGGCGGCTCCCGGGCAGCCCAGCTCCGGGGAGACAGCGCGCCTGCTCACGGCACCGCTATCCGCAAGAGATAACGGGAGCCGCGCGGCAGCAAACGGAGCCTTTCGCGGCTCCTGCCGGCAACGCTGCGTCRCTAACCAGATGCAAGGCTCCTTTGGAGAGAGGCAGCCCTCCTCTTGCTTCAGCTCCCAAGGAAAACAAGGATTTCTAATGTTAACTTGACTAATCTTGCACAGAAAATCACTATATAAGCTATTTCTCTAGCCCAGGGCGCTCTTTGCCGGCCGGTTTCCAACCCTCTTCCTAGCAGAGCAGTCCAGCCATTTCTGAGGGCAGGCCACACACCTGGATAAGCCACGGGAGAGGCAGTCTAAACACGKGGAGCCACGACCAGCTTCACAGCCCCTACCCGACCGACAGTAAAATGATGATTTATGTCCCGCCTGCTATTAACAGAGGGAAAACGCTGATTACGGAAGATTTTGCTACAGGATAGAAGGCACTTCTGGAAGATTCACTTATCGCTGGATGACCTCAGCTTGACACTCCCAGGCTTTTATTTCAAGATCTGAGAAAACTGCTACCAATTTCCCAGCCAAAGGCCAAATCAAGTACCACTCACTCAGCTGGGAGACACAAAACCGGAATGCCAGTTGGTGTGCGGAGGCTATTAAAGTCTCCGGGATCCCCAGGGAATTTGGCCTGAACGAGGACCAGCAGCAGGGCAACACTAGTTATACTGTCTCCAAACTGAGAGCAGAAACCCGAGGGGAGGAGCTGTCCTGCCCTTCAGCAACAAGGCACCAGAGGACACCTGACAGCCCCAGAGGGACCCAAAACAAGACTGCCAGCACSCACACAGGCTTGTAGAGGGACACGGGAAGAACCTGGGAAGAAATCACAGGAGAGGTGAAATGCTCCTGGCCACGACTCAGCGTGGCACCTGGGATTTAGCAGTTTGAATCGCATCCCCAAGGCTACCTGGCTTCGTCACTCACACCAAYGTCACCAATGAGCGCGGGAGAGTTTACAAGCTCTTTCTATGAAAACTTGGAAGCGAAATGATCTCAGAGGGCAGCAGGGCCGTAGGTATGTGCTTGTAACAGCGATATTCCCTACAGTATTGACCRGCTCCTTGCTTTTACCATCATCATTTGGTAACTGTCAAGAAATTCAAGTCTTCATTAGCCAGCAGAATCCCCAGCTCCCACCAACTCACAGCACAAAGCTCTTAAGCTGCTGGCAGCAGCCAGACTGTAGCCTCTTCTTCTGCATAGAAACAAGAAGGGAAAAAAAATGAAGCTGAAAGGAATGACATGGTGATGGATGGCTGTTTGCCAGTGTTTGAGACAGCCTTTTATTTGCTTTCTTTTACACCCACTTTTATATGCAATGATTTTTTTTTTTTTCCCACCAAGGTATTTGGGATTAGGCTGGCTCTCTCTCTCAGCTGGCTGACCTGCATCAGGATTAATTAATTTACTGACCCAGTGTGAACTTTAAAACAAGAGGCACGTACTCCGAGGTTTCACTGTCCCAACTTGAGACCACTTGCTATTACACGAACCCAAAGTCTTGGCCTTATAGCCCGACCCGAGGTACCAAAACCCACAATTCACACAGGGCAGCAGTACCTACGCCAGGTCAAAGACACCTCCCTAAAGCAACACAACGCTGCTGCCAGCGCCCAACTTAATACATTTAAAGACAACGTAAGCACAGATATAAAAGTTGCCTTTGCGCCTCTGCAGTCGTAACCCAAGAGAGCTCTTTTCATTGCCTGTTTAGAAAGGGAAGAAAACAGTTTTAACAGCCTTCTTCTGTAAGCACAGTCTAAGGGTGACGTTAAGTAGTACGAGGCATTTGGTGCGATTTCCCTACGTGCTGCGACACGGCTAGCAAAGCCTGCAGAAGTGAGAAATCACAATTGTTTGTCCTGAAGTTATCGTTTCAGCATCAGCAGCATTTGAGTTAGATTTCACTTTCGAGACCAGCAGAACCGGCCACGAGCACTCTCCTATTTTCTTTAGATGAAATCTCAGTTAACTGCACTTAGGACACAGACACATAGCTGCCAAAATTATGACACAAGTGGGGAGCTGAAGCTGTTCAACAGAACATAATTTTGCAGGAGAAAGCTTCGAGACCTCTCAGAGTGAAAGATTTCGCCTGCCTTAAGCAGACCTTGCTACGTCCCATCCTTCCCTCATTACTGGCCATAGCGCCAGCAACTGAATGGTGAATGAGACAGCTGGTTGGGTTTTTTTTTTTTAAATACCATTTTGCCTTTCTGGCCTTTTAGCACTGAATACCTGCAGGGGTCTAACCCAGAGACACGAGGCACTACTGGGGCTGGCCCTTTAGAAAGGGGTCGCACCAAAGGGAGGGCTTACACGTACTTTGAGGAAAGTTTGCAAGGATTTCTCCAAATTTTACCACAGATGAGGAAACCCAACCAGCTTTCTGCCTCACGTTGACAACAAAGTTACACGGCCAAGTGCTTTAAGCTCCCTTCTACCGCAACGCTAATAAATTTAATAAGCAGAGTAAGACCATGGCAAAGCGTTTACTTCATACCCAGGCTGTTTCAATCAGTTATCAGCACTTTCCTGAGCACTGTGACACAATACACTACAATTAAAAGGAAACCAAGCACGTGGCACCACTTCAGAGCTCTCACCCACCACCCGGATGGGAAACATCCCTTTCCTGTCCAGCTGCGGCCCTGACGCGGTGCCCTAAGCTGCCACTCGCCCTGTGCTCCCGTGCACCCCACAGAGCTACGGCCACCAGCCGCTGGCACTGGCTTTTGAAAACAAAAATGACAACTCCTTAATTGGTAACACAACCAGGGGGAGAGAGCAATGCCCTTCATCTACCACCTCGCTACTCAGAGCAGCAGTTCCCCACCAGGGCACAGAACGAGGTAATAAATTTGCTCAGCAAATCTAGTGGGCAGCCCCAGCACAGGACACAGAGGGTGAGGAACAAGTTATTTAGTCACCAGYCGAAATCAGTCATGAGCAACGGGTAGCTATCAACAAAGTTTCTGCCTCCAAGAGAGYGGAGCAAGATACAACACGTAGCAACCCAAAGTTCACATGATAGCTGAGCTCTGTCTGTCCCATCCAACTTCCAGTTTATCAGTTCAGGAAAGGAATCTGAGAGCTTCTTCCGACAGCCTGATGAACAGCAATGGCCTTTGCTAACCTGGCTAATAAGCAAAAAGCAAACAGAAAGAACAGTCTTTGCTACTGAATTGTGAGTGTATCTCAAGACCTCTACTGTCTCGCAAAAAAAAAGGCAATTTTCAGTCGGTCGTGGCTGGCTGTTCTGAGAACGTCCTCACAGGCAGCGCACTCCTTAGTCAACACTCAGGGCACACACAAAGGCACAGGATCTCTAAAGGACACCGAACGGACGAGCCCAAACGAGAGGCTGCTAAAGGGCTATTCGGAGAACAACCTTAAGGAAAGCAGCTAACGTCCTCTACCCGAGCGTTTCCTGCTTAATCTTAGCTCCTGTATCCTCCGCACCTTCAGACTCCCTTTGGAGGGCAGTGCTACGGCGCACCTCCCATCCCCTACAGGCAGCTTTTGCGTGCCTAGGTCGCTCACGGGATGCCACCGGAGCCCTCCTCGCTGTTGCCGAGCCCCCTTTTCCACGGGGAGCCGCTCTGCACAAGGGGAGCGCAGCCCGCGGAGCCACGCGAGGCCGCGAAGCGCGCACCAACATCCTCCCCGCGGCAGGGGCAGGGCCGCCCCGCCGCGCCGCCGGCCTCACCTTCTCGCAGAGGCTGCGGACCTGGCTCTCGCTGAGCTGCCGGCACTCGTTCAGCTGCTCGATCCACTGGTCCAGCTCCTTGGCGAAGCCCTTCTCCTCCATGGCGAGGCGGCGGCGCCAGGCCGCGGTGGGGCCCGCCTAACGGTCGCGGCGCAACGTCCGCGCCGCGAGGCCTGCTCCGCTCCCCGTAATGGCGGCCCCCACCCGGCCCCTGCGCACTTCCGCTGCCTTCCCCCCCCACGGCACGCACGCCGTGACGCACTTCCGGGCCACGGCGGCGCACGCGCCCTGCGCCCTGCGCCCGCCCGGCTCCAAGCCCCGCCCCGCCGCCCTAACGGTCGTTGCTCGGCCGTTTTAGGGAGCGTGGAAACGGTTGAAATCAGGAAATTCCTCCGCAACGAAGCGCGAGCGTGGCGCGCTCGTTTATTTCCCTCAAAAAGGAGCACGGAAGTCGCAAGACCTACAATTTTTTTTTTTTTGGAAGGTAGAACTAACCGGTGACCGTTACGACCGTTAGCCGTTCTCCCACCGCCCCACACACTCCATGCGGGAGCGCCACAGCGGCTGGAGGGCCAAGGGCTCGGGGCTGCTGGGAGGAGCGCCGCTGCCCCTCACGCTGCTTCAGGTCACCTCTGTGCTGCGTCCGTGGGTGCCCTTCCCGCTGCCTCGCTCAGCCGCAGCACCCGGCGGGGCAGCCCAGCCCTTTGCGGGCGCCGGGTGAGGTCTTTGAGCCCCTCAGGATGGTCTAGATTTCCCCGGAGATTGCGGCTAAGGCACACGATCAGCTCAACTCTGTGCAAGGCTTCTTAAGGCACAGCTTGTGGTGACCCGGGCCACCCAGCGAGGAGCCTGGAATGATCTCCTCTCCCGGGCAGGCCCCCGTTTTCTTGCCGTGCTCATGGCAAGTGGCCAGGCCGGGGATGCTGCAAAGGCCCCGAAGCAGCAGATCCTTGAAGCAGCCGCCCAGGCAATCAGATGATAATAAGCAGACGAGACAGTTCAGACTACACAAGTAAGCAAATTTATTTTCAGACAGAACAAATATTGTGGCAAACAACGATAATGCAAATCCAGTTGGTAACAGGGGTAAATACCAGACTCGGTTTTCAAAGAGATAGAAAACATAGTCAGACTTTTCTCTTGCCCAAAAAGCAGCTCGCACAGGCATGTGGGCAGGGCTCCCTTCATCAGACCRTGCCGGGGTTAATGCCAAACACCTTCAGCTCTAGTATCCCCCAACTAGAAACCCTTCCATGAGACTGTCTCCTTCCCACTGGCTCCTACGGGATTAACCTCCCCCCGGCCACATCTGCAGAACAGGCAGGATGAAGTTGCCTCCTGGCAAAACCCACGGAGCTGCTTTCTGGAGAAGCCAAATAAAAGCACACATAGAAAACGTCGGATTGTCAATGACACTCGGGAACAAATTCAAGTTTCTCGCTGCGCGTGTGTCTCACGTCATACAAACGGATGGGAAAGACGCGTAGACGTCGAGCCGCGATGAGCGGCGTGTCCTCAGTTAGTGTCCACGGGAGCACCATCAGATACGGGAGAATTAGCACCATGGGGTCGTGGGACCCAACTGATGACACGCGCCATCGGGAGCCCCGGCGGGGCGCGGGGACACGGGACAGTCCGTTAGAAACAATACAAGGCAATTTATGAGTTTTCATACAGTACAATACAGCCACTGATCAATTCACCCTTTCAGTACAGTACAGGACAAGGAACACTTTGCACCCTGTTAACACTAGAGGTGCCCGCGGCCCTTCGGGAAGGAGGGCGGCAGCGGCGGCCCCGGGCGCCCCGCTCTCGGGCCCCCACACCCCACCTGCTGGCACGTCCCAATCGCATGGTGCCGACCGCCCCCCAGCCACTCCCAGGGGGAAAAATCCCGTTTTTCAAAGCGCCGTTGCCAAATCTGCGCTTCCTTSGGGCCAAGCGCGGCAACAGGATGCGCCGGCCGCCTCGGGGCTTCCCGCTCGCCTCAGAGGCTCTAACGCAAGCGGGGAGGGCGCCGGGGCGTCCGCCAGATCCGCGTCCCCTTCCCTTTCCTCCAGCATAGTGAGAACAGGGTCCATTGGGAAAGTGCTAAGTTACAGTACAGTTGCATTTTTTATATGTCGACTATTGAACAGCAAAACAGCTTGTTTGAGAACAGATTCAGTATCGTACAGTAAAGTTCACACTTAATTCTTCACCGTTTCTACACTGGTAACACATGCATTTTATTTCCAGTATTTTAATGCCAGTAGGACCAACATCCCTCAGAACAATGACCTAACATGAAACAAAACTTCCCAAGGGAAATAGTAAGCATCACAGAAGTTCCAGAAAACCTGTTAATCAGCATCACAATGGACTCAGATTTACATTTAGGATTCTTCATGCCATGACTTTAAAATACTTTTTGGGTAATATCCTGGAAAAGAAAACAAACAAAAAAAAAAAAAAAAAGAAAGAGAAAAAAGGGACATGTGGGAGAAAAAAAAAAGATATATATCCATATATATCTATGCATACACACACATACACACACAAAGAGGTGCATGGGTATGTGTATGTTTGCAACAGCTTCCTTCAACACGTGACTTCTTAATTATTATCTTTTTTAATAAACTTGACTCATTTCATCTGTATGTCTCTGAAATCCTTTCCAGAAAGAACTCTAAGCTACAGGAGGAAATTAAAGAAGTCTCCTAAAAGGAACTGGTGGGTAAAGCAGAGCCTGGGCGCTGTTACAACGCGGACAGCTAAAAATGGCTACGAGAAACATTTTGTCCTCTTAAAAGGTTCTTCCAAAGAAAGAGGTGCTGTGCTCTAGGTGCCGTTTGGGTCTCATGTTGTGCCATGCAGTGGGAAACACTGATTTTTACTCTCCGGAGAGCAAGATGCCAACTCCAAGGGGCAAAAAACTACACCTGTGGGGGGAAAAAAAAAAAACAAAAAGACCTGGTGTCTCTTCCCCTTTCCCACAATCTTCATTTCCAAAGACTAAATGAGACCAGGGATACAACATAGGGCCTGAATTTTTAAAAGGATAAAACTACATCTTAGYGAAGACGAGCAGGACCTAGGCTCTGAGTCACACAGTCACTTCGTGGAAAGGCTGTCCTCRTATCCGCTCTCATTTGAGGGCTAAGATGTAGCAACTTTGCACATAGGATTTCCTTAAAGCTGAATTTGCACAGATTGTTCGACAAATAAAWAAAAAAAAATCTGGATTCTATTTAGCATTCGTGCTTCAGAAATCAAAAGATCTAGAAGAAATGAGCACAACACTTCAGGCTGCTCGGGATTTGTTGTTCTTTAACCACCTCTGATTGAATACCCAAACCCAGAAAGGTCTGTTAAGGAAGAAGCATCAACTGAACCCAAGCAAAAAACATCTTCCCAACCTGGAGTTGGTCAGGGAAAAACTAAACGCTTTATSAGCCCAATGAAACAAACCCGATATTCCTACTTGTTCTTTTTCCAAAGGTTATTTCCAACCCCCTCAGCGGGTTGCCAGCCTCGAGCTGGGGACAGCAAACCAGGAAGGGTCTCCATGCCGAGGAGCCCGGCTGCGTTTGCTGCTTGGGGCCAACGCGCTCCCACCGCTCCCTTGCCGGCGAGGGAGCTTAGTACCCGGAACTCACCACCCTGCAGCCTGAACGGGGCAAAGACACGCGGCAGAACCGCTCGCCAGTGCAACCCTGGCGCCCTCCTACCTCTGGATTCACCAGCAGACCCGCAGGCCTCGCTCGCTGCCTTCTACGTCACCCCACGGTGCCGTCCTGCGAGCCGCCTACTGCAGCGAAGCTCCCGGGGCGTCTCGACGGCGCTGTSAGCGCGGGCAGAGCGACGGCTCTTATTGCAGCGGCTTCAGCGCAGTCTTTATCCACGCCAGCCTCTAAAGGGGGTTTGACCTTCGATTCTCAGCGACCCCTCCTGACAACGAGGTTGTCAAGTACCTGCCACACGCGTCTCGCGCCGGTTCCACGTCACRTCCCGTGGGCTGTGCAATTCGAAGTGCAAAATGGACCATCTTGCACCCTCTCGCCTCCTCTGTGCAGCCCCTCCTGTATCTTTGGTGATTTGAAAACCACGCGCTCGGTGCTTGGATGACCTCCAAGTTGAGAGCAGCCAAGCCCACCCAGGCACCGGCGCGTGAGACATTTCATTCCGTTCCTTCCAATCGATTCCGATGGGTTTATTCCCCGAATTTACAAAATCACTAACACATACGAAATTAGGCACCAGGTAGTGGTCACGTACTCCTCCAAACGACCTTCTGACAGCCCCGTAACCGCTAACGCCGCCGCGCATCAGAGGCCGCACGCACTGGGAAAAAAACCAACGCCTCCAAACTCAGTGCTCAGAGTACTTAGAAAAGTGCAGGGCTCAACAGAGCCAGGCGCAAAGTGACGACTAGTACTTAAAGTGCGAGTTTGCAAGTGGGTTTGGTTCGGGGCGCAGGACGCGGGGAGCGCGACGGGGGAAACGCGGGGCGCCGCGCGGGCTGCCGCAAAGGGCGCGTGGGCGCAGGCAGGACGAGCAAACACCTCGAGCGCGCGGCGAGCACCGGGCCCAGGCTCAACACAGGCCGGGGGGGAAAGCGAAGGGGACACGAGGGGGAAACGGCGAACGCCTCGCGCGGGACAGTTACATGTCGAGGGGACACTCAACGCGTAGGAAGGGCAGCACTGCCAACCACCTCCTTTCACGTGCTCCCTTACACTTACCTATTTACTGACTGGTGGGTTTTTCACTTTAATTAGGCTTATTTGTCTCTCTTAATCCACCTACCAGTGAAAGGACATTCCACACAGTAACAAGATGATGAAAGCAGCCGACCTGGCCATCCTAATGCCGAATCCTGGCTCCTATAAAGGGCAACAGGCCGGAGAACGGTGAGCTTTGGGCAGTCGGGCCTGGCCTCAGCGTGCCTGGCGTGTGAGAGAGGCAGCAACCGCTCCGCACGGCGAGGCAGGCAGCCGCGCGAAGACAGAGCCGAGCACCGGCCACCAACGCGGCTCGGGGAGTACCTGCCTGYGCTCACATGTTGCCTGTCGCTGCTAGGCTCGGGAAGCAGACTGGAAAAGGGCCCGTTTCCCACTGCGGATGTCACATAGGCYCTTATCAAAACTAAACTAAGCAAAAAAGACCCGTGAGCTGCACCTGCTATGGCCACATGCTCCCTTCCAGCTGCTGCCATCGGCTTTTTCGGTCCCTGGGAGTGAC